GGGGGGGGGTCGTAACAACCCCCCCCCCCCTGGTCGTTCGTGTTATGAGAAATGGCCTGGTCGTGCGAGGGGCATTCCACGTCAAATCGAACAAAAATCGGCTGTTTTGCACCTTACCATCAGCGATTTCATTATAAATTTGTTAGCGAGTTCCTGTGTGGCCCCGGACATTACATTGATGTTTTTTGCACATTCTGACCACAGGTCTTCTAAATATAGGGCATCAACTTTTTGCAAAATGTTGTATCTTTATATTTTTAAACGACCATAACTTTGGTTGTACTTGTTTGATTTGAATGAAATAAACCTTACTGTTTAGGTAATTTCTTAAGCATTTGTTTAGAATTGCACCTACTTAAATATATGACCTTGAAATTTGCTTAACTCTGTTCTTAAGCACAAATATTGAAATAGCAAAAAACACGTCACCTTCGATTTGGCTCATTTTCATATATGTTATTGCCTACCATATTCTTAACAACCTGTGAAAAAATTAGAGTGGGCCATTCATAAGTTTTGAAGAAAATTGCACATATGCAAACGTATGTTAGCACGCGCAGTGGAGGGGAAGAACGAATTTCGCCCACCCCTCCTGTTTTTCGCCAATATCTCATAAGATTAATGCGAAATTAATTATGGCTACCTGTCAAGAATTGAATTAGACATCTCATCGTGCAAGCAATAACAAAATCGGTTCACAACTGTTCTAGTAATAGCGGTGTAAAGTGAACATCCTGTCGCCGCAGCAACGCGGCGACTCGGCAGCCGGCGCCGACCGCTACGCGCCGCCTGAATTGTAGACTGTGCCGGGACGGAACGGAACGGTTCCGTCTTTACATCGCGCTCCCTACCGCTGATTACGTTCGATTCGCGTCAAATTTTGTGAGAAGACTAAGAAATGTACAGGGAATCTTATGAAGAAAGAATTTTGAAAATCGGTTGGCAAACAATTGAAATATGAACGTGTAAACACAAAATTGTGATTGCTACGTTTCCCGCATCGGCCGAGCCCGCCTCAGCCTGCGACATGTTACTCTTAGCAGGCCTCTAACTGCCATATTTATTATTGGATTAACTAGAAATTCCCCATACATACTAAAAAATGTATGTTCTTTCGTATAGTGAAGATCAAAAGACGTGAAGATATCGTTGCGTGATAATGTTTTCGTTGAATTTACTTCATGATGCATTTCCACACGGCTCAAAATTCCCCGCAAAATACCGTTTGCCTGAGACACTTTTACTATGGAACGTGAGTGCTTGACTACGATGACTATGCATTTCCATTCTCGCAGAGTTTGGGATATCACTAATCAGCACTCAATCATTTCAGAAAGTGTACACAAGCAAGCATGTCTTGACTCTGTCTTTCAAGGTCACGCGCGGTTGCGTGATGTTGATGCATGAAAACGGCGTTTGCCGCGAAAGTTATGAATGGCCCACTCCAATTTTTTCACAGATGGTTAGGAACATTGTGACGGACATAATATGTAAAAATTACCCAAATCGAAGGTGACGTGTTTTTTGCTATTTAAATTTTTCTGTTTTAGTTCAAGGTCAAATGCATTTCAAGGTCACTTCAATTTAATTTGATAATTAAAAATCAAAGCCTTATCAATTGCCTATAAGACCCTGTTAGTATCATTTTGATACCAGAAAAGGAACCAGAGTTATAGCCATTTAAAAAATTGATGTGTGGCATTTGCTATATTCGATTGACATATTCTCAGCGATACGTTATCAATTCGAAAATATTATACGTAACTCAGTTTTTGAACCATCCACGTCTGCCTACACAATTTTCAGAAAAATCGAAGGGGATGACGGATTTCGGTGTTTGATTTGACGTGGAATGCCCCGCGAGGGTTAAGGCGATGAATATTATTTTCGAGCGTTATGATATTATTATGGTATGGTACAATAATTTTGATACTTGGCAGTTCAGATAAGGTACATTTCCGTGATTGTTGTGGGAAACTTGTGAGGTTATCTGGGGAAATACTGTGCAGTGCAATATTATGTTTCCGAAGTTTTGCACAACGTTTCGGGTTGTGTTGTTTTGTGCGCGAATTGCATGTATAAAGGACGCACTCCAGGAGGTACGCAGTTAACGTATAAAATTAATCACGTTTTGTTTGTTGTAGGTATATCATCAATGGAGCACTGTGATGCAGATGCGTACCCGAAATTCTTCCAAATACGAGTTATTCTCCCTTTTGATTGTGCATTTTTTTAAGAAACACACGACATGATTATTTCCTTATTTATAGACTTGAAATATTTATTTTAAGTTTTTCTTTTTGGATACTAGAATTAACCCGCGCACCGACGGGGGGGGCGGATATCCGCCCCCCCCCTGAGGTTTTTCGCGAATAGCGGGAAAACCGCGGCGCGTAGCGCCGCGAAATTTGGTATGACTATAACCTCATCAATTTTACACATGGTGTGCAAGTTTGAACCTCCTACCTTTTAAGGTCAGGTCACCAGGTCACTTTGAATGACCCAACCTCATGTCACTTTTTTGCAAATTTTTCACCGTGCCGGAGCTACAGTAGATGTCGGAGGCCTTTGAAAGTCACAGGATATTATTAGGTCATTAGTAGCTACAATTTGTATATCTCGGAATTTTGATATCGGTGACCTAAGGTCAGGTCAATTTCGCGACCTCCCCATTATAAGTCAATGGGGGAAAAATCAACTCCCTGTTTTCACCACTAAAACGGGTCGGAATGGCCCCATATACCATACATGACTTCATATACGATCAACCTTCACTAACTTGAGGTCTGTTTTGCTGTTGGGCAGCTGTGAGGTCATGTGACGTCATCAAAGGTCACCAAAGGTTTTTGGCCAATAACTCCGTACAGGAACAAGATACAGACGCGTGGATGGTCTCATTGTGTTCAGCTCGTCAAGACGCATTGAATGATATACATGATGACCTCGAGGTCACGTGACCTGAGGTCAACCTTTGACCTTGACCTTTCGAGGTCAACATATATATCATTCGATGCGGATTGACGAGAGGATCACGATGATGCCCTTAGTTTGTTCCTATCTTGACTAATTCGAAAGTTATTCGAGAAAAACTCTCTCCATATCTAGCGCCGCCATTTTGACTTTTTCGACCCCTGTGACGTCATCTTTGACCTGACCTGAAAATGAACTGTGTAAAAATTGTAGATCTTGGCCGTGCGTATCCGATGCCGTTTACCGCTTGTCGCTATCTTGCTTCGTTCTCGAGATCTCAGGGGGGGGGCGGTCATCCGCCCCCCCCCCCGTCGGTGCGAAGTTGGCGCAGACCCCCGTCGGTGCGCGGGTTAACTTAAATGCCTTCTGAGTTTGAAGTTAAGCATTTGGACAGTACAAGCTGCATAGGTGTGTGTTCATATGCTTGCGTACTCCACCCGCCTGGCGTGCGTACTCTTACACACCCCATATGGTAAGAGTACGCAACTGCAGCGGTTCAGAAAATGTCAGTTTTAGACCACTTCCATTTACGCTGAAGGATCGTTGCCCCATGGGTTGATGGCTAATTCAATGAACTTTAATATTCCCTATTTGCGATTTCTTTCTTTCAAATATTAAACAAATGAGAGCAAGAAATCCACTAAGTGCGTACTCTTATACGACTTCACCCTACAGATGGACCATTCTGCAACGGACTGGGCCGGAATCATTGGTACCGTAAACCGTGCGTCCCTGCTACTAGCTAGATGGTCGAGTTTGGACAATGACTCAGAGGCCTGCATGGACTGATGTATGCCACCTAAACCTACATATAGGTATGTTGCTTTTCTAAAATATAATTTAGTAAAAAAAAGCAATCCCCACCTTTGATTGAACCAGGGAATAAACATCGGAAATGGCATATACCTACCCTTGAGCGGGGGGGAGTGCCGATCGTAGTCAATGAGTAAACATATTGGCGTTCCTTAGGTATGACATTGTGCAATACTTACATCATGACAATTCAAAATAGTTCAAAAGCTGCAGTTCCCAATTCGAACACCACAGCGTTGGTTTGCTCAAATGGCGCCGCGCGGTCTCCTCTGCTCGAGTGGCACGGCCACCGCTTCAGAACGCCTGCCGCTCCGCTGTGCCGGCGGGCGCGGGAGCCGGGCGGCACAGCCTATCCGCCAGGCGTCCTCACTGTATGGCCGGGCGGCGAGTTTCCTAAGTGTGGAACTGCCCATACCTAAGGTCTATGATTGGCGCAAGCTTCGCCGAGATGACGTCACAGGCTTTGACGTCATGGCTCACAGTCGGCTGACCAATCGCTGCACGATTATAGGCTAGCGGCGCGCGGCACTAGCGCCCCTGGTGTTATTATGGGAAGTTGAGCAATTTTACATTAAAATCTAATGCATAGCTTGTGTTGGGAACAATTATGTATTACTAAGGCGTCAATGTCTGACAAATTAATTCGTCCATGCTACTCACATTTTGCAAAATGCAAAGTGACCTTATATTATGCGTCATAAGGTACTACACTACGCTTCAAACAATCCACACAAAGCACCAGCCCAGTTGGGCAAACTAGGCGGCGGGAATCAAAATATGGAGGCATCAAAATATTGATTCTAGTGGGCGGAGTTTTGACCATATATGGGCATAGAATCAATATTTTGATTCAGTTTGGGACATTCCCACCTTCAGACGACCCGTTACGGCGGAAATAACCCCCATGACGGCGAGATTTTTTGACAAGTCAAAACAAAAAACTTCCCCGCTTCAATTTTTCGCTGCATGGCTATCAGCCGTTTGTCGCGCGTACCTTTACGAATGGCATAAAGATTTCGCCGCCATAATTCAACAAAAACGTGCTGTTAAAACTTGCTCTGTTTATCATTAACGACGAGCCTTTGTAATTTTTTCATAATATTGTCTAAAAGAAAATAAAAAATGCGTTATTTAGTTGTATAATTCATTTATAAGAAATATTCTTTTTCTTTGTATCTAGCCACGATTTCCGGTTCCCGCCATTTCGCGCCGGCGTCGTGGGTGTGTGTGGATGCAACGTAGTGTTCCCGGTTTTATTTTGTTTAAGCGACCTTTTCTGAAGTGTAAGTAACAATGGATCATATTTTAAGATACTTTGAAGTGTGTTTTTCAATTTCAGGCATGTGATCTTAACGTTTCTTACCGAAAACTCGTTTTAAGAGATGGTTTTAGGAACATGGCGCGGTAGCGACGTCTGCGGTGCGGGACGCCTTCTCACTCTTCTATTGTCTTTTTAAGCTATATTTTTTTGAAAATGATGTCTTAGGTGTAGTATTTCCGTGAAATATGATGTCCTTTAAAAGTTACGGTATAAATTAGTTACAAGAAGCCTAATGTTTTGTCTCACATGATAGAATTGTTGGGTGGACTCATGAAATGGGGGCAGTGCATGTCCAGTATTTTACATAATTTGGATGTTTTAGCCTCTGCTTGTGTCTCACTCACCCAATTGTTGCTACAACTTTAATTTGTAGCATTTAAATTTTAATGGCAACTAGGTTATTGACTTGTTCCGAGTTAAGATTGAAAGGTCGTAGTGCATGTTCGTGTTTGCCTTATCTTAATAGTAGGTATGTATGCTTGGCTTGTAATTGCTTCGCCCATTTTTGCTACATATTTAATGATGCTTACTTTAAGTGTAACAAAAGCAAGTTGCTGAATGGTGTAAGCCATATTGGTATGCGTGATTAGATTAGATTAGATTAGATTAGGGATAGTGAGCTGATTTAGGCAGGCTATTCAGTGCCCACATCGTAAGTACTTGGAGACTAGGTAATGATCAGGAATCAGACAGATAGGATAGCGTCACTGGTACCCATATTTCAACTTATCGAGCCGGTTCTTGAAAGCGTTTGTTGTTTCTGCCTCTACTTCTTCTGATGGAGGCTGTTCCAGAGAGGGACCACTCTGTTTGAGAAGAATTTTGCCCTTACTTTGGTCTTTACTCGGTTCACTTTGATCTTCAAGAAAATTATGTGTCTAATGTACGGCAGTCCAGGGAATGCTGGATAGTTAATTTTCAGGATTGTCCATGCGAAAGTTAATTTTAGAGGCCAGTTTTATCAACACAAATAGCTGCCTGCTGGAATTTTTTGCCTAAAGACTGCTTCACATATGGAGCGTTAACATGATGGGCACGTAAACGGATAGGGCTGTACCGTTCATGCTCTGTATGTGAAGTAACTTTTAGACAAAAAAAAATCCAGCAGCCACCTATTTTTCTGTTGGTACAACTGGCCTCAGATCTACTTTTTTGGCAGAATTTATATAACTGCATGAGATGACAGTTGTTGGCGCACCTGGTGGCGTTCAGTGGAAATTTAAGTGACATTAAGTATTTAATTTTTTATTGAATACATTCTAAAACTAATAGTTGCTGAACAAGGGGAATAATAACACATACAGTTTCCTAATTAATTGTCCACAAATGTCCTAATTATTGTGTTCTGTTGTTTGCTGCAGGTCAACCAAGGATCAAACACTGGTCGTTGCGGGAATCGGCTTCAGAGGGCCAAGGATGGCGTCTTGAATCGCTGTTCAGTCGACAGGCAACTGTATGACAACGCCATCCCTGTCAACCAGAGCGTCGACCGAAGTAGGGCGGCGTTGAGCGGACCTGGCCGCACCCGACCAACCGGCGGAGTACCTGACTCGGGCTGGGCGGAGACTACCTACATCACGACCTTTTGAACTTTGATCTCGTGGCGAGAAACAATATGACGTAAGGAAGTGTGTATGTGGCTGGCGGGGCCGAGGGTGAAATGCGCCACGTGTTTATCCTGCCGGATGACGACAGCGTCACCAACCTGTCAAAGAACGAGCTGGTGCAGCGCGTGATGACTGCTATCTCGTCCCTAGAACCGGAGTAGAAAAACGTGCGCATAGCCCAGATGAAGCGAACCAAAACACAGACAGGACTGATAGCTTTTCGGTCGAGAATGTTCTGAAGATGCTGATCAGTAGACCAATTGGTGACCGTTTTCGGTGGTAATATGGGATCTTGTGGTGTTCCAAAGCGACCTGCTTTGGGTGTGGACATAAGTGGCTCAACCTGACAGGATCGATGTTTTAGGTAGCCGTGCTAATCATAAACCCTATATTGAGTGTATCTGTACAAATTTTGTTTATATTTATTTCATGTATTTGATTCGAAACCAAAAACTGCTCTTTGTAATTAGGCAACATCGAGACGTTGAGGTCATTCTCCAGACGTTTATTTGTTTTTTCTTACCTGTCCACGGTATGTCTTATTGGTTAGGTCTCAGTTTCAAATATTATGAACTGCATGTTTTGCAAATACGTAGCCATATTGAATAAGAGACGTGTCCTAAAAGTGAGTATTGCTTTGCATGGGATGTGAGCATCAACGACAGGGCTTTGTGATGGCAAATGTGTGGCAATTGCAGGGATCGTTGTGAAATGTGTTATGAATATCATCGTATTATTTGCGAATGCAAATACATCCGTGTATCATATTTTCATTCAAATTGTGCAATTTGTGCAACGGGCTTGAGTATATTGTTCGGCGAAATATCTCCTACTGTACTCCACAGAAATGGGACGGGATACAGATGCGTAGAAACACATTCATGAACACGTGAAAGACGATAAGTTAACTTTTTTTTACTCAAAATCAATGCTACAAAGCAGGGATGTGGAGCCGTGAAAATGTCAGACGGCTTCGGCTCCGGAGGAAAAAATCGGCTCCAGCTCCGGCTCCGGCTCCGAGTAAAATGGTCGGGCTTCGGTTCCGGCTCCGACTCAGTACAACCCCTATACAAAGGTCAGCACGGCTCCCTTCACGCATTCCCTCGAAGGCTTGCAGCTTTGAGCAGGGAGCCAGGGTGAGTGCTGAAAATCCCTGGTCTACCGTGGGAATAAGGTCTAGAAAAAAATACACGATCCTGTGCTGATAATATCTTCATGAATTTATTGAATTTGCATTATTTGCACACAAGAAACATCCCATAAATCAATTTGAAGGGTGAAGTACGTCTGCAGAAAGTCAGTTCGCAGAATCAATATATTGATAAACCAGCTGATTTCAGAATCAAAATAATGATTAGCCAGCTGTTTGCGGAATCAAAATATTGATTCTCGCCGGGATTAGCCGCCGTGATGAATCAATATCTTGATTACTTTCAAGACGCTTTCCTAAACTAACCAAAGAGGTTAGGGCTATTGTTTCGTGCCTGGCGGGTAGCTTCAACGTTGCTCTTCATTTTGTGAAGAAACTTATTTTGAAATTCTAGCCGGTTGCTGAATAATTGACGTTTCTGTGATGGTCTGCACGTATGCCCATATATGGTCAAAGCTCCGCCCACTAGAATCAATATTTTGATGCCTCCATATTTTGATTCCCGCCGCCTAGTTTGCCCAACTGAGCCAGGCACTGTTACAAGTAGCGAGCAGTTAAGTGGCGGCAGGTGGCGCTACCATCTCCAGCATCGGTCCAGATGGCGTCACTCACTATCCGCACTATAGTTCCGCACTACCTGCTAATAAAATAAATAATAAATCCGCTAATAAATCTGCTAATAATCTCGCTAATAAATCTGCTAATAATAAATTCGCACTACCTGCTAATTTATGTCCTATTGATCATTCAACGCCGATAGGCAGTATTACCAGCCGTAATACTGAAGACATTTGCTCAATGCTGAAGCGAAACGCAGTGCACAAACCACACCGTCAAAACTCAAGCACCTCGTAGGAGATATTATTATTATTATTATTATTATGTCAAACATCCACCAACCACAGAACAGTGGGCATTACGGTGGCATAGCACATACAGACGCACACATGCATACAATTTCACACATATTCATATATGAACACTTAATCGACTAACACAATATTCGGCGCAGTGTGAAGCAATCCATACGCGAAGATATAAATAACCATGTGTCCCATGTATGACAAAACTGTGACAATTAAACCGGTTTTATATTCACGTAGAACAAGTTACTTTTTCTCTAGCTAGGGAACTCGCTAAAATTAAGACTGACTAAATATTTACGCAGGATAACTGGCTCCGCCTCTTCGCCAACTTAAGGACCCGCCATTCCATGCACCTAGCCGCCAGCGCCGAGTGATGACGTCACTCGAACGGGCGACGGTATGAATAGTTCCACACTTAGGAAACTCGCGGCCGGGCGTCACTGGGTGTCGGGCGGCACAGCCTGCCTTCCAGGCGTCTCCAACAAGTGACGTCACTGACGGCCGTCTGTTTTGCGCTGTGTGGCGGTGGAGCTGCTGCTGGCTAACGCTAGGAGCTTCCAGCGCCAGCATTTTTTTTTTTTAACGGACGAGTGTGGCGGGTGCGTTTTTCGTTTCAAATCCTTGTTTTTTTCCAGAAGTGTCTTCAAAACTGCATCGCTGCACTCCGTCACTTTCAGCGTCCATTATGGATGCGTTATCAATGGAATGCGTCGCCATAGCATAAACCTGCACGCGACGCTAAACCTGCTGCAATCTTGAAAGCTTTGAAGAGTACAGAGCATTATCGATGGTTTAACCATTATCGGAGACCCTTACGTAACAGCCGTCCGGTATCTACAACGACCCTTGGCTTTCACCGGGGACAATGAGGCAACAAAATGGGCGGCGGTGGCTGGTCAGACGTCTGTGAAAGCCTTTGAAGAAGCCTTGAACCGTCTGTGGCGAACTCAATTGGTTCTGTATTGGAGACCAAGGCCACTTGTCCACTCGTGTAGTAAGTTTCCAGGTGGAGATTGGTCACTGGGATAGTTTTTTTATTTCGTTGTTTTTGTCTTGTCTTTAGTAATAAGCATCCACTAGTTGGAATGGAAGCATTTGTTGCAAGGAAATTGGTCATTATACCCATGACAATCGAAGTATCACCAGAATCATTAAAGTTCTAGCACCAATTAAAAGAGCCGGAGCTAAGTGGTGATATACATGGTCCGTGAACGCTGCAACACTGTTCTAATACAAATGGCGCCGATTTGTTGTCATTAATCGCACACTGCAGTGATCGAGAGCCTCATCCAGCAAACCCCGGCCCAGTTCCGGTCCAATTATTTGCGGCTCCTCAGTCGGAGATCGCCTGCCGTTCAGTGTTGAGGGGCTTCCTTTCGGCCCAGCCTTCTGTTCGTATCTCATTAGGCGGATAACTTTATGCCGCCTGTTAGTCGGACTGCGCTCAATGGAGCACCCATTGAGATTAACTCCGTCATTGGACAGGCAGCGAGTCAATCTGACAATGATGAGTCTTGGGTATTCACCAGGTCAGTGTTTCATCTATTGCCGGGATTGCATTTTTATTATGATCATTATAAATATTTTTTTCCATCAGCCTAAGCACTAGGTAGTAGGTAGCTATATTTTCTCAACACAATTTATCGCGGATATTAACCAGTTAAAAGCTGCTGGAATTTAACTATGTATTTCTGTCATTCAGAGAGCGGCGGTTGACTTCTTGATGTAAAGAGGTAAACTGTCGTCCCGCCCTGCCCTCTGGCAGATACAGGGAAATCATCTGTTCACGAGGCTCGCAACCGGAAACGAGTGCCACTTCGTCACGGCTGAGGGCGGTGAGACGCTGGGAGTCCGAGACAGGCCCTGCTCGGGCGATATCAAAGGTCACACAGAACACGCCTGGCCGCACATACCAGGTCAGAGCTCCAACACATTATCGGGGACAAGTGGAACAGATCGCTGGCGTAATATAATCGTCACTTAGGAGACCCTGCAATCATTCCCACGCATCAGCATTTACACGCATTCTTTTGTTTCCCATCGAGAAGTATCCGAGCTAAGCACGTCATTGCGTGCATTTATGACTAATTTTCCTTTAAAACAACTTTGGCGATAACATTTGTTTGCACTTTGCACCAACAATAATTATAGTCAATTATTTTTTTACCCATCGTATACTTTATAAAAGTAGCAGCAATGACACAGGATGAGAGAGTGCGAAATGGAAAGGTGTGTGACTGAAAAGGTTAAAACCATGGTTTGAAATTGCATCAGTTACCCCTAACCCTAATCCTATCCGACTGATTATTTGTCCCATTATGTTTAATACGGTGAAGGACAAATACAAATTCGGGAATACGATTCAACCCTCATTCGACTTTTTTGCGCTCGAATTCGACTTTGCGCAAAATAAAACGACAGCGCTTAAAAGCGACAGTTGCCGCAAATTGCACACTCAAACTGCGCTGAAATACGACATTTCTTTCATGTCGCAAAATCTTCAAAGTTATGCATTCTAGGAAGCTCGCTGCAATGAAAAGAGGTAAATTTAGCCCCCCGGAATATGTGATAGTATCAGGACACTGTTTGATTCCGCCACAAATGAGAAAAACGCGATGCAGAACGATGCGGTGAAACTGCGCTCATTCGCGACAAATCGTGGGTAAATTGCGCCTGTATTCAACAGTCCTGTTGGAGCCTGAGTGGTCGAGCACTTTCCGTTTTTCTGTTCTCATTCGTTTAATTCGTAACCAATCTTTAAAAAATGATGCTCATTTGAAAGAGATTTTCTCGCTCGTCATTTCTGATGCATAATGCATACATTTGGTACATCACACTCACAACCATATGTACTTGAATTTTCAGATGAAGGATTTTGCCGCGAAGACGGAGTGGGTGTCGTATACCTTACCTAGATGTTGAGCTGGAATTCGGTGAACAAGTTTTTTTTAAATAATGACCTGAAGGTGACCCAAACACTTTTAATTGATAGGTGTGTTTGCAAAACGCATTCCGACAGCTTTTTTTCTGCTTTTAACACTGTATTTTTCTCGAAATACCTGTTTGAATAATTTTCCCGAGTCGACTTCAGGCGCAATTATCAGACACTTAGCCTAAAAACGACACTACCGAGTCAGATAAAAGCGCACTGCGCCATTTTACGACACTCTGCAGTATGATCCGAGCGCATATGCGCCCTTTCCAGACACTTTTATGTTTGATTTGGGCGCATTGCACTTACACTTGACGGCACAATTTACTTGACAGAGGCGGCTTCAGCCACTGGTTTTGTGGATTTAATGCCTTTTATGCTATACTTTAGCATGTTTAGATGTTAACGATCAGTTTTGTTGTATTTACTCTATGCACATACTTACCTGTTGCTTGCGCGGGACCCCTCTTCATTAGGCCTGTTATGCGTAAAGTATTAGCGGAGGGGATTTCCTTCGCAATGGTGTATGTGCTGCCAAATGTGTCCGTGTGGCGCTCAGCTGGTCGGTGTTGGCCGAGATATGAATGCATAGGTGTATGCAAGGCGGACGGCTCCAGTGGCGGTCGCAGGGGGGGGGACATCAGGGCCATGCCCCCCCAAAAGGCAAATCAGGGGGGCATCATATCATTTGCCCCCCCCCCAACAACCGATGGGCCCCCATGGCCGTATGGGGCCCTGGCCCGTATTCGATTGTCACGAGGCTCGAGAAACCCACGCCAGCTATTAACAGCTCCTATACCAGTCTTTGAGGGTCCTACA